GAAGCTGAGCCCCTGCAGCAGCAGCAGCAGCAGCAGCAGCTGCTGCTGCTGCTGCTGCTGCAGGGGCTCAGCTTCCGCAGCAGCAGCTGCTGCTGCAGCACTCTTCAAAAGGTGTAACCATTATAAATTAAGTCATCCACAATTCGTATATATTGTGTTAAATATATATATATATATATATATATATATATATATATATATATATATATATATATATATATATATATATATATATGTGAATAAGTGGGATTGTCGGAATATTCCCAAGTGCTGGTGTGTCTCTGCGCATGCACTTTTTCGAAAAACTAAATTTCAAAAGTTAATTAAAAATGAATATTTTAAAATATTTATTTTTAATTAATTTGGAAAAATTGCAAAAGATGCTGCGGGTTTTTATTTGCTGCGGGAGGCAGTGCAGCAGAATGCAGACATCGCCGTGCAACTGAACCCGCTTCCACAGCCTCCTAAACCCTAAACCCTAAACCCTAAACCCTAAACCCTAAACCCTAAACCCTAGAGGAGCGGCAACTTCGTAGGAACCAGCAGCAGCAAAAAAATGTTGAAAGCCCACGAGAGTTGGCCCAGTGTCTAGCAGAGTCAACGCTGCGACTCGAGGCCTTGGCGGGAGAGCCACGAAAATGGAAATATTCATTATTTATAAAATAATATAAATAAAGAATATTTAGATATATTTGCATTATGTATATACACCGCAAATGCATGCATGCGTTTGCGCACACACTTGGCTGGCTTACTCGCCCAACTTGAACAGGAGAATACGGGGCTGTCAGTGAGCAACTTTTGAGGATTTTGCGTCTTAAAGACTCGCAAAAACTTCAATTTTAATCTGCACTTTTTATTTTTTAAATCCTCAAAATGATTTTCGGATTCTTCTGCACAAAAGCTGCGCGTACACCTCATTCTTCCTCCGGCGCGTGCGGGTGGCGCTCCGGCGGCCTCTCGTTGGGGTCTCGGGGCGGCTGCAAATGCCAAATAAATTGGAATTAAATTGAAATAAAACTAAATTAAAGTTGAATTAAAACAAAAACAAATTCAAATTGAATTAAAATATAAGATATAAACGCCATTTTATCGAGCTGTGAAACACTCAGCTTCTGCTGCAGCCAGCCGAAGCTCAAGCAGCTGCCTGGCGAATCTGAATTCCGCTCGAATTCTCTGCTGCTGCTGTTCTGCTGCTCTTTCTTGTTTTTCCCCTTTCCCTTTACTTTAAATCCACTAAATTAGGAGTATTTTGCAGGGAAAAGTCCCATTTAAAGCTCACATTTGGTGGGTTCTTGCGCATGATGTAATTCTTGAAGAAGTAGTTGCCCGCGAAAGCCCCCGTCAGGGCCGATCCGACTACCGCGCACCACTTGGGGCCGCTCAGGGCGTACTTGACGGGCAAGACTCGATCGAAGACAACTCCGGTGCCCATTGGCTGAAACGAGAAGCAAAAGAAGCGGAAAAAAGCCAAAAAATGGCACCAAAGGACTCGAAATGCGTGCAGAAAGCACTTCGCGCGAGATAAGACGCAAAAAGAAACAAACACGCGAGAAAAACAGCAGAAAAACACTCACAAATGAAGCAAATACTCCTGCATGCATGCGCATGCACCACACACGAAAACTAGGAATGGAAAGTAAGCCAAAACAGCTGCAGCGGCGCCTCTGCTGCAGCCAGAACTGATCCAACGGCTGCGTGAGCAGCAGCAACAGGGCTTCTGATGGCAACAATATGAGCTACAAATCACAATAATTAGACAATAATGGTATTTAAACAATAAATGATAATAATTCAAGTTTTAAAATGAACTAAACCCCCCAAAAAGCGGCGCAGCGGCTCACCGGCGTCGGCAACGGGCTGGCGGCCGCGAGCAGCGGCCGTGCGATCCTCTGCAGGCAGCAGACAAAACTTGAATTTCGGAAATGAAAAGACTGGAAAGCGATTTAATAATTCAAAAAAAGGCCAAAAGGCGCTTTTTTCTGTCTTAATTTCTCCAATATAAGGCTGCATGCGCCGTCTAGAGGGGCCTTAATGCAATTATTTTCAAGAAGGAGGCGAAGTTGCACACAGGCAGTGGCGAAAGAATCAAGATATTCAAGTTTCGCAGACAAGGGCTCCCCGGCCCTCCTCGAGAGTTCTTTTTTCGCGGAATGAAACAATTAAGAAGTTGAAAAGCAAATTACCAACAAGTTTGTCGAAAAAAGGGAAAGAAAGAGGGGCTTTTCACTTGCTGCTGCGCCGGATCGCGCAGCCGCAGCAGCAGCGGCGATGACAGCTCACCAGCGCCATCGGAGGTGCCTAGTTTTCCCGCTTCGCAAAGTCTCTTCTCATAAAATAAATATTATTTTTCATTTTTAAATTCAATTTCTCCAAATGAAGCAAATAAAGCCGACCGCGCGCACAGCAGCAGCTCGGGCTGGCTGGGGCTGGCAGCGCGGCTGCATGCAGCTATCAGCTACACGGTTTGAACTTGAGCACAAGAATGCAATTATAACAATTAAAAACTTTATTTAAAATTAAAAAAATAAATTTAATTCAGTTTTGCAGTTTTATATTTATATATTTATATATTTCCTGCCACCGAAATCCTTCTCAGGAGCTGTCAAGGTACACAAGCTGGGTGAAACGAAAGTTCATAATTCAAAGTAGATTTATTACTAACTCGAAATATATTTATTTTTCTCTTGAAATTATTGAAGTACATTTTGTGAAAAGCTCTGCTGCTTTATTCCTCCATTTGCTTTCCTCTAGAGCCCGCGTAGCTACCGGGGTAGATGACCCTAAACCCTAAACCCTAAACACTAAACCCTAAACCGTAAACCGTAAACCCTAAACCCTAAACCCTAGTTTACTCGACACAGCGAAGGCTGGAGAGACGGGATGGCCGCCTGCATAAACAATAACTGTCTGCTAGTTAAAAGTGGCTTATAGTTACTGAAACCTAGGATGAAACCCCAAACCCTAAACCCTAAACCCTAAACCCTAAACCCTGAACCCTGCGCTGCTAGCTTGGCCTTAATTTCAGCGTGTGTAGCTATCGAGATAAAACAAATAAATAAC